TATTTTAATGTTTTAAATTAAAAATTATAAAGGAACACACGTATGAAAATAAAACAAATCATGTTATCACTCTAGTTAATGATTTGCATTGAACCAGAAAATTCAAGGTAGAACCTGACATTATTAAAAATACAACTATTACGTAAATTTTGGTATATATAGAGAGACGAGGACTCTCGAGTGCGGACTAAGATCCAGAATTTTCGCCGAGGGCGAGAGCTCTCGTTTTTGTGGGACTCAACAAAGTAAATGTGTGGAGTAAAGTTTTGTGCAGCCATTTGTGAATTATGGGTAAATATCTTTAACTTATTTTAAAGTGTTTTGGTTTGATAATAATTAATTGATTTACATATAAATGCCAATTTTACATTTTCGTCCCGATTTTCATATTTCTTATACATATTTTTATATTATTATGTAGTTAAGGTTTTCCAGTGGTATGTATAATTGTTAATAAGTCCAAACTGTATAGTTCAATTAAGTGTTAATCTAGTGTCATAAATCTTTATTTAAAGTTTGGATATATTACCAAATAGTGCTTTATTCCCTAATTATAATTTGAGTAATTTATTCTTTAGAATACTAGTCAATTTTTTACTTATTTTAAATATAAATTTGTTATTTTTTTAATACTTATTGTTATTCTCTCCTCCCCCTTTCAAAACCAGGCAAATATTCCGAGCATTTGAGAAGCCTCGGCGTTTTTATTCCCTTAGGACTAAAAGAGTATAAAAACTAGTTGCCAAGAACCGCTCGACTATGCTATTAAGGGATAATTTTGTTCTTTTAATTTAATTTAATTTGCCACTGGTGAATGGATGTTCCTTCTGGACTCCAGGACCCTTTAGCTGGTAACAGTGCTGCCCTAATCCCTTAATAGTGTATTAACAACAGTAGTTAAAGACCTATTAGTAGTTACACATGGTCTTTAGGCAAGTTGGTTGTTACATTTGGTGACGAGCGGTGGTCCTTTAGGCAAGTTGGTTGTTACCACATTATTAATGCTTTGGCTCTGCTGTTTGCGATGTGAGGAATACTGTTGGGTAATGTTGAATGTATTTGGAAGTAGTGCTTTTTTAAGTTAGAGATAGAGTTTTTAAGTGATCTTTTCAACTTTTTACAAGAAGACAATAGAAGATATATCTATTCTTTACGATTTCCTCAGCTTTATAGTCTGTTTTTTCGTTAACAGTTACTCCGGCATGAGCTTTGGTCCAAATCAAAGTTATCCCTATATTTGTAGAGTACTGATGAAAAGGTAATATTTTTTTTTTGGGTTTAAAATTAAATATAAAATAATTTTTATAATTTTTAAAGGGGAAGCCAATAATCGTCTCTAGGTATATACTGTTGGTTTAACATAAAATACGTACATGAAAAATCAAACAGGTTTTTGTTTATATAGCTATTTCAACGCTTTTCAAAATGCTTTTGTCGTTCGACCTGCTAATTGTTTCATGACAGGTATAAGATGGGTGCATACTAAATGACGGAACTACACTGAAAAGTATTTATTGTATTTACTTGTCCATGTATGCATGTTATCTAAAATCAAAATTCCACATGAGTTTTAGGTACTATAAATAAAAATTACTATTACTAAAAACAACTAAAAAGTGAGTTATCTAGTAATATATTAAGATTATGTTATAATATTAACACCCTTTATATTTGCTTTATCTATGATAATTTAAAAGAATCATGGGGTTAAACACACGCTCAAAAAAATAGTAACTTAAATGAAGACGAGCGCCTATTAACTTAATAAATTCCGTTCAAAAATAACATTTTTCGACGACAAGAAACGATTTCGCAAAACAAACAAGCATCGCGCCGCGTTCGCGGTGAACAAAAGCCACGTAAAATGAAATTTTACGAAGTTATTACAAAACTTCAGTAACATCTTTCGGTTGAAAATTCTCAGTTCTTGTTCTTCTTGTTGTTGTTCCAGCAGACTTGGAAGGGAATTATCTGGTGAACAAATTGAATCTGGATTCGGAGGTGATGAGATACGACAGGCCGAATTTCATTACGGGACCCAAGTCGTTCGGCGGCCTCCACGTCGACGTTCTGCGAACGGATCGCGAAGGGGCGACGGTGCAGGAGGTGGACATAGGCCAGTGGATGGAGGGGACCGTCTCGGCCAAGGGCAATTACAAGATCGGAGGTAGGAAGAGGTTTGTCCATATGGTGGTCGAAGAAAGCACAAAGTAAGTTAACCATGTCTATATCTAGTTTTTTTAAATCCATGGTGACATCACTGCGTATAATTATTTAATCATTTTAATATATTTTTTTAATTGCTTTTAATATTATTGAAGATTGGAGATTATTAAAATCTTATTTTGCTCTTTACATGAACTAGTAACTAATAAAATCAAAATACAAATAAAAATATTAAAGACAAATAAAACAAAATTAAAGAGGGTGTAATATCTATTTTTTTAAAAGAATTGACGGAAGGTATCATAACAACGTGCTTCAGGCCTACATCTTACAAAGACTTATCTTCTTTAGCGGCATTTAGAGCTGGAGTTAACATAAAATCGAATAGAGTTGCAGCCGGTTGATTTCCCAGAAATTTTATAAAGTTTATAACAGGCCGCTTATCAATGACAATGAACTAGCTAGAAATATTAACTCCTGATTTAAAAATTAGAAAACTAAAGTTTGTTTAATTTTAGAGATTAGCCTAAAGGATTATACAAAGTGTTTCAAAAAGGTGTGTCATAAATTCTTCCTCAGATAGATTACCAAAAAAAAAGTGGATTTGGCTATATTTACCTATATCAAAAACTGGCTCCCAACAAAGTTACAGGGCGTTAAACTAACATTCAGAAAAAAGTTTTTTTTTTTGTAAAAGTTTGCTGTTGCGATATTTTCTTTGAAATTTTTGCCAGTGCTGTAGATTTGAAGGCCCAATATTCTAAATAGAAAAAAAAATTAAGGCGACCCCCTTAAAAAAAGTTGGGGGTTGGGTACCTTTTAACCTCCCGTATTTTTTTTGACGTAGATAAACTTGCTTTATCGATCTTAAAATCAAAAAGAACTATGAATTTTTAAATTTTTTTATGTCAAAAATGAACTTTGTATCTTTCTTAGTTGACGAACTATTTACAATTTTTTAACTGAATTTCTAGAGCAATTCGTCCGTCCTGAACTCATCAACAAAACTAAGCTAGGTCAAGAGTTATTGTAAAAAAACGAATATAAAAATCAGTGGTGTGCCTAAGGCTGTGCTTGAGCCGCCTCTGCAAAAACTACCTCTTTTTTTGTGTCATCGGCATCAATTGTTAAGGTTATTAGCCTCGTGTTCTGTGTAGGCTGTGTTACTGTTTCCCAGCGCCACTTTGGGAACAGCACTCTTAATTAGAACCCAACAGTGAATGGTCGAGTGGGGAATCCTACCAAGGTATCAGAATTAATTTTAAATAATTTAAATTAAATAAAAAAAATCCCGGCCAACGGTGGGATTCGAACCTGGGACCCTTGGATCCACAGGCAAAGACACCACCACTGAGCCACCCACCACATTAACTAACTCTTTTATTTATATTTTTGTAAAAAAGGTATTTATAATATTGGATTGGCGTCATAAAAATGGTGTGCCACCCGCCCTCATGGGTTCACCATGCCACTGATAAAAATACACGTTAGTTTGGAAATGTATTTATTAAATTTAAAATTTAATAGTAATTAAAAAAAACAAATTTTTTAATTTAACAAAAAATTAACAATTAAAAATAAACACGACAATAATTATTGTACATATTTTATAAACTATTTCATTTAGTAAATGTTCAACATGTCCTCCTTCTTCAATAAAAAAATATAAATAAAAGAGGTAGTTTTTGCAGGGTTGATGAATTGCTCTAGAAATTCAGTTAAAAAATTGTAAATAGCTCTTTAACTAAGAAAGATACATTTCGCTATAAAAAAAATTAAAAATTCATAGTTCTTTTTGATTTTAAGATCGATTGAGCAAGAGGTTAAAAGGTATTCAACCCCCTAACTTTTTTTAAGGAGGTCGCACTAGCAAAAAATTCAAAGAAAAAATCGCAACAGTAAACTTTTTACAAAAAAAGTTTCTTTGGATGTTAGTTTAACGCCCTGTAACTTTGTTAGGAGTTAGTTTTTGATATATCTAAATCCACTTATGTTTTGGTAATCTATCTGAGGTAGTATTTATGACATATCTTTTTGAAACACCCTGTATATACACCTATTAGTATTTTAATATGGTATTAGATTATAATTAAAATAGTTAAATAATGAAAACATATAATTTGTTACTTTGTACTATTATTTTTAATTGAATTGTATAAGAATGAATAAGAATTTTAATAAAATTTTATTAATTAAAATTACTTAAAAGAGCATGGAAGAATATCTCTAACGTGCTTTAAACATCTACATGTGTGTTCTATTAGGACCGGACTAGGAAGTATAATTTCAGATTAAACGACTTACCTGTAAGGAAGTTCAATTGTAATTATACGACTAGTCCGGTCCGTAAACCCCTTAAAGTAAGGGCTTACTTTTGTACATTACCCAACCCGAAAGGTCGCGATTACTAAAACGCGTAATGTAGTATGGGTGATGTGATGGGACAAAAAATTGTTTTGTTTTCTTTTAAAATAGTGTACGCTTGCATAAAATGAAGTAACTACATGTGTGTTCTATACGGACCGGACTAGTCGTATAATTACGATTGAACTTCCTTACAGGTAAGTCGTTTAATCTTAAATTATGTTGTTATATATGCATCGTAATTTGTATGGGGTGGACTATATTACACTGTTATGATAGGCGACGAAACTTGAAAATCGCCTAGAACGCATCCCCCCTTCAGACAAATTAGATTTTGGCGAATGTACATAATTAAATTTGTTGTTTAATTTGCAAAAAACAGGTAATTAATATGTACAAACAGAATCTTACTGTCTTCAAGCTTGTTTACCAAGCTGATATACCCAATGTATTACTAATTAATATTTATTAAGTAAACAAAAAAATGTTTTCCATTACTACACAATGCTATAATAAATAAGATAAGTAAAAAAACTATTACCGGGAAATTTATTTCATACAAAATAATCAAATTTCAGTAGCACGTTAAAGTAGTCATCGACACATAATTTAAACAATAGTACACAAACAAACTTTTTCCAACTTTGTAAAAATGTTTCTAAATGAATTGACAAATATATCATTGGAACATGCCAAGCTATTCAATTCACGATATACGCGTTTAAGTGGATTATGACGACCCTAATTTGTTAAATGTCTATTTTCATATGAAGGGCACAGGGGTAAAAAAAGGAGCTCATTGCAATTTTGGCCGAAAGTGTGATTTTTTCAGGACTGTTAATATTTGTCATATATTTTCACCTTCTTGATTCGAAACTACACAAAGCGCGCTCTTTATAGAGATAATCTTCATTTTAAAAAACTATACACGGGAAGGTGCAATAAGCTAAAAACGGGCTCATTGCAAAAATTTTATGCAATGATCGTATTTTTGCTCATTATTAATTTCAAGCGTGCCATTATTTTTGATATTACGAGAGCGTCTCTAACATGCAAATTTGTTTTGTTTACTTCGAGTTTTTATTATGGAAAGTGGGAAAGTGGTGATAATACCAGTCATGAAGAACTAAAATTGTGAAAATTTGTGTCATGGAGCCTAAAAGTAAAAAAAGAAAATTTTATGCTACATTGAGGGACGTTAATAAGAAAATGACAGCCGAGTCATGAAATGGACACTGACTGTAATTGCTTGAAAAAATGTTTTGACACTAACGGTGATTGCGGTTAGGATTTCTGTAAATGAACGGGCTTAGTTTAATAAAATGGCTTTTATCACTCTATTTTTTGTAGTTGTAGGCGATTTTATTTTTTTTGCTAACATACAAAACATCAAAATACTTAAGAAGTTTGTTAACCATTTAATTTTTAAAAAATTAATTTAGAATAATTAAAAAGAGCAACGTAACGTTCTCAAATAGAATTTTGACCTTAAAATCTCTCTAGTGAAAAAAATATAAAAATGCTCATGTACCCTTCATATAACAATGGTCAATTCCTAATTCTTGATACAAAATTAAAGTAAAATAAAGCAAGCAGTTCCGGACAATTTATTAAACCATTTAACAACTTATGTGAGAATAGTAAATCCGTATCATGCCTTCGTTTTTCAAGAGAGCAAATATTAGTAATTCCAGAAATTTGACGATAGTTAATATCTAGCCAGTTCCTTCCTAGATTGTATGCATAATGTCTGAAAACCCTCCTCTATACATCTAAATCACATAAATTTGTCTAGGTACAACTTGTGTGTGATAAGAATTTAGTTTAAGACTCAAAACTTCTTTCAAAATGTATAATGATACAATTAAAGTAAAGAATATAATCATTTAAAAACAAAATACAAAAATACAATTTAAAAATCCAATATAAAATAAATACAAAAAAAGTTTGAAATATATAAAAAAGGACAAAATTGGCAAGAAGAGTGTCTATTTTCAAATAAATACATGGAAATCCCACAGGAAAGGAAGTTGTGCATGGGCTACATATATTTAAATGATAACATGTATGTCACCAAATTGATTTAATGTTATTTTAATACTAGATACATAGGTACCTCAACTGCTTCTGATGTATTTTTGCTTATGTATATTTTGGTCGTTTAAATATGTTACAAGCAAATATTGAGAATCTAAAATTTGCAACCTTCTACCGCTGAAATAATCTGATTTGGTTCCAGATTAACAACCTGATCATTAATAGTTTCTACATGTTTTTAATGTTTTTGGAATTTTAGATCTTTTAAGAATCTCCAAAATAATATGTGCCATAAATATTTTCTAAAAACGGGTATTTCTAAATATACTTATCATTTTTAGTTTAACTTTTTTCCTCCGAATAACTTATTCTACTAGATCCAAACTTCGGGAGATGATGCATGGTTAGCTGGTTTTGCATTTTTGGTTGATGTCACGAGTTACTTGAACGAGTTAAATGTAGAAACAAG